AATAATTAATTAAAAGAAATAACTAAGAGAAACTCTAGCCGAGGGTACACTTCAGAAATGGTTCATGCAACTGATCATTGATTCAAAAATAATTTCAACATTTATTAATAGATTAGTTATAGTTGTCATGCACGCGATAAACAACCAACCTTTCCTTAATTTCTCGATAGTTAAGGTACGACCGTTAACTATTTCCCTAACCCAAAAACAACCCTAGGTACGACCGTAGGATTTAATTTCTAGATTGCATTAATAATTAAAAAGGCCCAATCCTAACTAACAAACACGTTACGAGGGTTTGTTTAAGTTAGATCGTATGTTCCCTTGACATAAACCCAATTACGCCAGTTGCTACTGAGATAGAGATAACGAATAGTTACGGATTCAATTACCCCTATTTAGCAAAATAACCTATATAAATAATTAATTATTGCGCACTAATCAATCATACACAAGGGCTATAACGATTAAGAGTAGGAAATATATAAATACCAATAAATGAAAGAAATAATTAAGAGCAGTTTAGATCTCACAATAATCGCAGAACCAATTCGTCAGTTCATCCCTTGACTAGAAAATAAGAATTCATTTCTTCATTGTTGAGGAAATTCCCAACATGATATTGTCGAAAATGAAAAACTCAGACTTCCGGCTTATCAGCCTCTAATCCCATCTATCTCCCGTGACTAGTCTCCTAACCTAATAAGAAGAGAAAAGAATCCAAAAGGTGGGACCCTCCAAATTCCTTCTTGTTTCCTATTGATAGTAGGACTTCCTAGCCTCTGTTCGTTTCTTCCTAAATAATAGACTAATGCCTTCTATCTCCGTGGTCCCCGTCGAGGCTCTGCCGAATTCCCTTTCTCTTCGGTTTCCATCCCTTCGAGGACTCCAACTCAGCAGCTCTTCATTAGCCAAAAGCAAAAAGGAAATCTGTTCATTTTTTTTCTCTCTTGTGGGCCACGTTGATGGATCTTTGCAGAAGACTCGTGCGTGTGAAGTAATTTACTCCAGAAAGTTCCTTCTTTTTGTAGTTTTCTGCTCCATTTTCTGAAATTAAGTTCAGATACCAAATATAAGTAGATATTAACAATTAAAATGATATTTGGCAGGGATAAGGGGAAAATTAATAATAAAATAACTAATAATTAACACCCTATCAATTGCTCAAATTTACACCCTTGGTGTAAGTTGATTCTTAATAAATCTAGTGAATATTAACATTGATACGATTGGAATTTTTATATTTGTATTAATTAATTTGATAATGAGATTTTCACAATTTAATTAGTGCAATAAGTTACCAGGTTTTATTGGCTAGTCAACCCAGCATTTTCTAGGATTAAAATGCTAAAAAAATGAAAATTGATAGAACCCTGATTTTTCATAAGGATAAACTAGAATTGAACTCATATGCATTTGTAAGTGCTGCATTTGTCCATACTTCATTCATGGAGAGGTGGCCTCTTGGAAAAGGCCTCCTTCATAAGTAATTTGATTAAAGTATGTTTAAACAATTGTTTTCGTTGTTCAGCTTAGGTAGGTTTTTTTTTTTTTTTTTGGATAAAATGCAATCTTCATTAACAAATTGCTGAAAATCATCCATTACAAATTGATCTACATCATTACCCTAATAATAGATTAAACATGCACCAAATTCTAAGCAGATGTAAAAAAATACAAAAAAATTTAAAATTGTGTTCTAACTCATATATCGCCACATCTCCTTTTTGCTCATGTTGCAATCGTCAAATTTATTAATCAACAGTTTTAAACTCCAATAATGATGATGAGATATGTCGAAATAGACCCAAGATCCAAAAAAAAAAAAAATTCAGATCTAAAGTAAATTTAGATCTAACAATAAAAAAAAACACAAAAATCTTCATATGAATCCCCAGGAGAATAGAAAATTCTAATTAGAAATCCTTAGGAGAAATAGAAAACTCTCATTACGAAAATTTAGGAGAGACTTTATTAGGAAAACAAAATAAGATGAAACGAAATTCATGGGAGGGAGACCTAAGAGGAGGCCTTTGAAAAAAGCATGAGAAGTAGAGAAAAATTGGGGAAGAGGAGAAGGAAAGAGAAGTTATTGAATCATAATTATGAAGAAAAGAGAAGTTCAATAGCTTTGGTAGGTTTATCTTAATGTATGTATTCTTTGACGCACATACTTCAAGTTACAAATCATTTTTTGCTCAAAAACTCAAAATAATTCATACCGTATTTGAAAGTATTTGCATTTTAGTCTTGCAACACACCAAGGTAACCAGAATTCCTGTAGTTTATGATAAGAAATTGCCTGCTAGTCTGGTCTATTGCTTGTTTTCTTCAATTTTTTAAAATATTTTGCAGATGGTGCTCAGAAAAACAGAAGAAGAAGAAGAATCTTGATTGTTGTTACATCCCAGTCTTAGGAATGTGATATTTGATTTTTGGGACATCAATTTTCTAGAAGCATTTGTTTGTATTCTCTCCACTCTCCTGAGAATTTTAGGCATCGTGTAGATAAGTAGTTTTGAGTCAAAATCTCAATTAAAGTAAATTTTCAACCTTTTATACATTAGTTTGAAATATGGATAACCTGGAAGTTCATGTAACTTTTGGAATATTAATTGTGACAAATTCTAAGGCGCAGGGAAGAACGATAATCTGTGTTTCACTGACAAATATGACCAAAAGTTCTCTACTTCTTTAATTTTTGCAATTTTATTTACATTGAGTTTTTTTTTTTTTTTTTTTTTTTTGGTTATCAAGAAGAGCTAAGCAGCTCAACATATAGATACTAAACGGTGGTTGGTTACCCCCACAATATCCAAGTTCATCCATCTCCGAATTATATCCGGTAGGCTCTGTAAATGATACAACCCTGGCTCCTTCTCGAGGCTATATTTAGCTAAACAATCCGCAAATATGTAATCACATTCCAATTCTATAATCAAGCAATCGTATAGGAGCAAAACCTACTTTGGAGACACACCAAATGGGCAATGAGGGCAATGAAAATCAGTCCAATGAAATTATAGTGCTTGTGACCAGAGAAGCCCCAATCCAAAATTGTCTCCCTTTCTTCTCTTTATTATTGGATATGGAGCCTGCATTCATTCTCAAATTTCAGCCCAGCAACAAAATTATTAAGATTATTACTAGATTTATTTTCGACTTTCAAATTCTTCTTTTTTCCTCTGTCTTCCAAATCTTAAAGTTTCCATCGAATTGAAAAAAAAAAAATCCTGTCAATTGGTAAATCCATTGCCTTTGTCTGGTTATTATTTGCAGTTCCACAACAATATACCTTTAAGGTTATTTAAGAAACTTTTGGTTAGAAACAGCGCTTGTTTATAGCAAGATAACAATTTCTTCAATTACTAATAGCAAGATTGCTATTTTGGAATATGAAAAATTTTGATAGTTTAGATACTATTGGCATGATTTGCTGTTTATGTTTTTTTTTTCCCCTAAAAATTACCATTCAATTATGAATTTTATTTTGAGCAATTTCCGCCTTAATGCCATCAACTAGTTGCAGATACTTTCATTTGTAATATGCTGGATTATGGTAATTTAAAATAAATCAGTACCTTAGGGTTCGAAATAATAGTTTAAGGTAAATTGAAATAGTTGATCATCTTACGATCCCAAGTGCTAAAAATCAATTTAAGTGTGCAAAATGATAGTGTTGAAAAGTTGGAATTCAAAACATATAATCAAAATAAATGAAAAAAAAATCATACTGCACCTGATTATACTAAAATCAATAATCTGATGGTACATAATCAGCAACTAGTTGATGGTAATGAGACAGTTAATTGTCCAATTAAATAAATACTTGATATAGGCAGGATAAATGATTTAAAGACAAGACACTAATTGCCAGGAATCCTCAGTTTTCTGGTAATGTGATAAGTGTAAGATGAGGTACTGTTATAAAATTATGTAATATGTGTGGTGTGAAACATAGCAGTCAAGTACTGCAATTCAACTGGTTATCCAACAGAGATCATTGCATGAATTTAGCAAATTAACACAGCCAAAACCTTTGTATGCAATTTGGACTCATAAGTAGGCCTATTAATGGGCCTAGAAAAAGTCTAACCCTATGGACTAGGCAAAGTTTGGATTTAAATATTAGAACCCAAATTAAATATAAGTAGAGCTTGGATCATGCTAGATTTAGGCCCAATAAAATGTTCCGAACTCATGTGAGTATAATTTTTTGTCAATACAGGGTGTATCCTACCTTTTTGCCGCACTAATCTCCTTGCATCTGAAGTATCCCGCCCTCCAAGAGCACTCAGGCATTAAAAGAGGTTCGAACCTTGGACCTTGGGACCTGAATGGCTACCCCAAGACCAGCAGAGTTAATCCTGAGGGGCGAGTATAATATTATATATATATATATATATAATGACATAAAATATTAATAATTTGTATATTACAAATTATAGTCATTTATAATTATAAAATATTTACTATATATAATTATATATTAATTATGAATTTGGACCAAACACAATTTGAGCTGAAATTCATGTAACAGCGTGAGTTGAGTCTCGATTTGTGAGTGACTTTGAACTTGCCAAAATTTTACTCAGAAAACTCAATTGATGCTCCTACTCATAATTTGACACGGCTGCCTACTATTTCGATGAACCTAAGTAATTAGGTAGAATGGTGGAGTCATTATCATGATGAAAAATGATAACCATGATGAACGGTATCCCAGCGTGCTTAATTTTCTACGAAACCAAGACAAAATTAAAAAAAAAAAAAACGTTTTTCTCCAAATCGTCACCTCCTCTTAGTCAAAAATGGTTGCTGGTAAAAAAAAAAAATTTTTGTGATGATTTGGACAGCGTAAACTATATAAACCATAGAAGTCATCAAGAAAAATCAACACATGTACAATTATATTTAGCCTTGCTAGGTCCTCCGTTTGCCCACAATGCATAGAAACATCAATACACAAAATGACTACACAAGATTTTTCATCAAACACCATGAAGAAGCAGCAGCCGCACATTCTCATCAGTTGTCTAGCAGCCCAAGGCCATCTCAACCCCAGTTTTCAGCTAGCAAAGAGCCTCGCACTAGCTGGTGCACGAGTCACTTTTGCCACCACCATCTATGGCTTTAGCCGCATCAAAAACCTGCCGTCCTTTTCTGGTCTTTCCTTTGCCTCTTTCTCCGACGGCTACGACGATGCAGAGTCAAGAAAGAACTTCAAAGCTGATAGCTTCTTTGCCGATTTAACACATGTTGGATCCAAAAACCTCACCAAGTTGATCCAAACTTTGTCGGATGAGGACCGGCGGGTTACTTTCTTAATCTACGGTATTATGATGCCTTGGGCGGCTGAGGTTGCTAGTGGAATGAACATCCCATCTGCTTTTCTATCTTTTCAGTGTGCTGCTGCTTTAGCTATTTATCACAAGTACTTCAATAGCCAGGATGGTGTATATGATGGCGTTCGCAAAATTGAACCCACCATTTCCGTCAAGTTACCTGATCTTCCGTTGTTTGAAAATTGTGATTTGCCCACCATTCTTGTACCCACTGATCCACAATTTGCTTCAGCCCCGCCTATTTTTCATGAGCACATAAGAGCCCTGGAGAAAGATTCTAAGCCTTGCGTACTGGTCAACACTTTTGCCGAGTTGGAAGAAGCATCAATCAGAGCTATTGTTGATCACATGAATGTGATCCCAATTGGACCTTTATTTCCTTGTGTTCATTCGGATGGGAATGATTTATCTGACAAGTCTGTCAGTCTTGATTTATTTGAATGTCACGAAAATGATTATCTCCAGTGGTTGGATTCAAAGCCCGAAAAGTCTGTGGTTTATACAGCATTTGGAAGTCTAACGAAGTTAAAGAAAGATGAAAAGTTAGAGATTTTGCACGGATTAGAGGAAACTGGCAGGCATTACATGATTGTTATGCGAGCAGTGGAGAATGAAGATGAAGAAGTAAAGGAAATGATGGAAAATGGGCTGAATGGAAAGGGGAAAATAGTGCCATGGTGTTCACAGATGGAGGTACTCTGTCACAAGTCAATAGGGTGTTTTTTCACTCACTGTGGGTGGAATTCAACTCTGGAGAGTCTAGTTGCTGGTGTTCCAATTGTGGGATGTCCACATTTTGCTGATCAGACAACAAATGCTAAGCTGATTGAGGAAGTCTGGGGCAACGGGGTGAGAGCAAAAGCTAATGAAGATGGGGTGGTGGGGAGAGAAGAGATCAGGAGATGTGTGGATGTTTTGCTGGGAGGTGGAGAAAAGGGGGAAGAAATTAGAAGAAATGCTGCTAAGTGGAGAGGCTTGGCTTTGGAGGCTATGAAGGAAAATGGATCTTCACACAACAATTTCAAATTATTTTTGGATTGTTTGGATAATTAATAAAACATTAAGACCCCTTTCTTGTACGGCAAACACTATTACAGAACATTCAAATTAAAAGAGCCATTTCTTCAACATGAAACTTTGACTTTGGTTCTTTGACGGTTGAACAGTTGATCGAGATATTTGTCCCTCCATCTCATGTAATTGGCTTATTGCTGCATGATTCATTAATAAAATCTTCTACCACAACAAATAGAGAGAGAGAGAGAGAGTTACCAATTCAAACGAACGAGGTTGAGAGGGCGAAGACGCTTCTAAAGAATGCAGTAGTGTACTTGTTTGATTTGATGATTCACCTTCTAATCTTTATAAGTCTTTTTAGACTCCCTCACTTTTTTTAATATAAGAGTAGGATAGATGTTGTTTTTATCAACAAAAAAAAAAAGACTCAAATCTAGAGAGTGCATTGCATTTTGTCTCACTCGGACCCCCCTAGTCTAAGAGCAAGGAAGATGTTGTTATTGTGCAAAAAAAAAAAAAAAAAAGTCAAATAAGTATTTGGTGTGGAACATCTGCCTCTCAGGTTTTGGTGAATAGTACAAGTTTCTAGGACAAACTCCACTGTATACCTCTGAACTTGTATCACTTTCAATCTCCTTAATTTTGCAAACATAATTATTGATTAGATTTAAATGAGATAAACTTGAGAATTTAGGGTGCAAAGTATTCAAAATTAAGAGTTTAGAGTACAAAGTGTCCAAAATTAAAGTTTAACGAGCCAAATATATATGGAAGTAATATAAGTTCAAAGGTGAAAAGTGGAGTTAATCCAAGTTTCTAATGTTGATTAATTGGAAAGGTTCTCGAAGTCAGAAAAAAGTATTCAATTTTGATCAGCTAAAGCAAGGAAAATTGACAAAATTTCCAATTAGTCTGCTGATTTATAAACACAACCTCTCCTGGGAAATTGGATATTTTGCTTTCAAACTCAACTTCAAGCATTTTGATGTAAAGATAATGTTCAATACGTGCTTCTAATAATTTAACAACTCTGGACGTGTTTGATAACTCTACATAATGCTAAAAATTAATTTATTGAGAGTTTTTCAAAATCAGCATGTTTGATAATAAAATTACCTTGTCGCTTAATGCATAAATACTACTTAATTTGTGTTCAAAATTTTAAGTGAAAAATTTTCATCGAATTTTCTGAATTAGCTACACATATCATTCCTCTCAAACATCCCATTCTTGTATATGTTCTCACACAAAATACACATTTTTTTTTGTTAACACACACACACACACGTACAAAAATACGCAAATTTAAATATGATCTCTCAATTGTTTCATTATTTTCTCTCTCACAAATACACACTTTTCTTTCTCTTCAGCAAAAATAGAAGTAGATTTTTTTTTATAGATAAAATCATCATACTTGCGCGATATTGCAATTTACTATACAAAGTCAGTCAGATATCAAATATATATAACCTTGTAGCAATTTAATACTTTTAGCACTTAAATTCACACTTCAGAATTCAGATTTTAAACTTCAATAGTATCAAATGTGGCGTAAGTTACACTGGTAGTTATTTTCTTTTTTTCCTTCATTCTTTTCTCTTTTGCAAAACATTAACGAACAAAATTTCATGAAGAATTCAAATTACAAAAGAAATACAAGAACAACAAAATTTTAAAAACCACGTCCCCGTGCATACCAAGTGCATTTTTGTAAGCTCGTAAAATTTTCTATCCTAGTCTTGTAAAGATACCAGGGCCAACTCGATTAGTTACTCCACAGCTCCATAAATCGGGAAAATTGAGTTCAAAATATGGGTCTGAGATGTTTGCGAATTACTTCAAATAGATCTCCAAATTACGTGTGAGAAATTTAAAGGTGAATTTGCTGATGATTATTATGTTGGGACTTTGTTATATTTTACCCAAATGTACAGAATTTTATGCTATGATCCAAAGAATTTAGGCAAAAAAAGAAAAAGAAATGTTAAAAAAAACATATTCCAACCATTTCGCACATCTCTCGCACGGACCAGATCTGGAGATCTATTCTTGTCTATTACAACCCAAAAAAATTACTAGATGCCACACAAGACCAAAATTTATACTACAAACTATATTAGAAAAGTTATGGGCTCTATATGGATTGACCATTTTTTTAAAAAAATTGTTGTTTTTGAAGTTTACAGTAACAATTCAAAAATAATTTAAAAAAAAAACAACTTAAAAAACGCATGCAATTTCAAATATGACTTATAAAAACATAAAAAATTATCAATTACTGTCACATTTTTATTCTTTCACCTATTGCCACCACTATCGCCATAGCCATCGCTATCGCCACTGCACCGCCCCCTGTCCCCTCCCGTCCCCCATAGCTCCTTGCTTTCCTCTCCACACTTCTGGTCACGCGGGTACAAAATCACCGCTAAAGTTATCCCATGTCTTGCTGTTGCTCCATGATTATCAACAAAAAGTTAGAATATTTGGCTGATTGAAAGATTTTTTGATCAGATTATACTTTCTTGGGAAATTCTGAAACAGCAAATGTCGATATCACGTTGAATAAGCAGCTGCAGAATGAGGACGAAATAAATGCAGTATAATCCAAGATTCAGCACAAAAGAAACCACATTCAATATTCCTCTTTCAGTTCTGCATTTTTTTGTGGGGATGAATTGTAATTTCGCCAGGAACTTCAACCAAAATTCTTGCTAAATCCAAATATAAATTATCCTTTTCATTTAAAGTCTCAGTATCAAGAAACGGTTTTGCAATAAAATTGGCAAAAATTGAGGACTTATATTTTAGATAGCATTGTGGTTAATAGTTGGCGGATGAGAAATCTAATTATTTAAGGTATATTAGGCAGTGAAAAAAAAAAAGAAAAAGAAGAAACATGATTATAATGTATAAAATAATAATCTATAATAGATAACAGATATCTTCACTTTCTCATGTCCCTATGTTTTCTTTCTTATGATTTTTAATTTTTGGAACCTCAACCTTAATCACTAAATTAAGGCCTCCTCCCCAACTCTCCTATGCCCTTACATTGTTTCTTCTTGCCGGCACTTTCTTGCTTACTTTCCCGAATTTTAAATAAATTACATTGTTCTAATTTAAAGCAGTAAAATTATATGCTCATAACTTTGAAATTTTTGTGAACATGCTTTCATAACTTTAACTAACCCAATTAACAAATTCAGCATCGCGAATAGTTTAATGGACCCTTCGCTAAATAAATAGATGTTAGTAATAGAAATAAAAGGCAGCACAAAATTTTGCTTTAGTGAACCAGAAAAAGTCTCACTCACAATTTGGCACTTCTAACGCACGAACGAGTTCTATAATTTTTCTCATTTTCTCCTTCTGGATGAACACAATTTTGAGATCCCTATCAAACATCCCAGTCATTTACTCGATGAAAGTCTGGTATATTTCAGAAGCATGGCTTTCTTTCATCATTAACCTTCATGATTCATGCAATCACATCTAGAGAAATCTGATAACCATGATAAATTAGGATCATGCCAGATTATTCTTCTCATATGGATTTGCATATGAAGCATTGATTTGCTATTAGAGATTGTCCTGCAAAACTAAAGATCTCCTGAGTCCATTTTAGTTTTGAGTTCTTGTAATAGGCTGAACTAATGATCTCCGGAGTTCATTTTAATTTTGAGTTCTTGTAATAGGCTGATTTTGTATTGTTTCTGGCCGATAAAGATTTGTACCTAAGGAAGAGATGTACAAGTAAAAACCTAAATAATTGTCTAACCTATTTTTAGCCATGCAACTAAGCTTGTTTATTGCCTAATGGTATTCAAGTCAAAACTCTTGAACACCAAAAGCTTAACAAAAACAATTCTCATTTTGCATTAGATGCTTGCTTTTCTTTAAATTGTACTTTGAACATACTTCATTTTCATTTGAACTATAATTGTTTACATGGTTAAATTAGAAAAGTATAATGATGATTTAACATCCTTATAGATAACCAAGGTTGATTACAATAAACCCTCTTGGTAATATCCTAGTGTCATTTGTCCCCTAGAAATCTGTTCTCTTCTAATCTCCTACGAGACAAAATATTACTCCACTTTCCTTTATTGTTTTCCCACTTTACAAAATCTCGAAGGAAGATGTATTGCCAGTGAAAATCCGCGGAAAGCCAAAATATTTGGGGGATAAAAAGGAGTTGTAGAACAAGATGACTGCGACATCTTATGGTATTTGCTTGTATATCCTTATAATTTTCCTAAAATTCGGAATGGAGCATATTTTTGGTACACTGTCATCTTTTGTTTAAAATGCTTAAGGTATAATTTATATTTGAATAGGATTATTATCACTTTCTCCCCTTAACATTTAGTGTCGTTATCAATTTCCCCCCTTAATATTACCTTTTAGTCATTTTACTATCAAGACTAACAGTCAAAGTGTCAATTCATCAAACCTTCCATATAGAGAAAGCTTCTTGACATTGTGACTTAAGGCAAACTCAATCCACTGATTGTTGATAGTAGTTTTATTTTTGAGCTCATGAACATGAAATTTGATTTTGAATTTTTCAATATCTGATTCGTCATGAAGTCCAAGAGTTTGATCAATGATTCTTCAAAAGTTATCTATTCTGTTCAGTCTTTCTAGAATTCAAGTAAAAAGACATGTCTAGACCTTAAAATTATTATTGTTTTACCTTCATAAACTATAGTCTTATTATCAATTTGGCCCATAGAGTTATTTTTAGACAATTTATCTTACTATTAAATTAACTTAGTTAAAAAATTTTAGAAGAAAGTACATTCGTCTTTGTATAATAAAAATAATAAAAATTTAAGTGGCTCTATTCTTTTTTAGTATCGAGAGAAAAAGTCAAAGAATTACTTTTTTCTTCTTAGCAATCTTATTAATATTGAGAAAAATAGAAAGGTAAGGAGAGAGAGAGAGAGAGAGAGAGAGAGAGAGAGAGAGAGCAATTCTTTTAAAAAAAATACAAATAAGAAAGAATTCAATATTTTTATTACTTTAAAATTATTTTATTTTTCTGTTTACCAACCAATTCTAGTCCTAAGCCAATTTTTTAAGCGAATAT